AAATTCACAAAAATTAGCTTCCGATTCCCAAAACCCGTAACATTTTTGTAAGCAATAGCTACTTGATTAAAACTTAGATAAGTCCGTCTTTCAGGGGCTGGTCACTTCAATGTTCGCTGCAGATATCAATCTCAATCCCTTAGGGATTTGAATTTTGGATAAGTCATGACATCCAAATTATAACATACAACATTATTTAAACCGTTTGAGATTGATATCCGATTCATAACTTATAGGTAAAAGCGTCAAACCTGAGCATTAATATCAATATTCATGTCCACATCTTCAACTGGATATAAGTTCGTGAGAGCCAAGTAAATGCACTTGATACGTTGTAAATCAACGGCTTTCGCGTCAGTTTCACGTTGTTCTGCTGATAGTTCAGCTCGCCTTTCTCGAGCGTCGGATCGTTTTTCCTTGCCGTGGAACTAAAGGTGGAATACATGCTAGCCTGGCTAAAACAATCAACAATACAAGAATTATGCACCTTGACAAAATATCGCCTATCAGTAGCTGGTGGGTTATGACTAGCACAGAATGAAGCAACAAGCAAGTACCTGTAAGTAATCCATTAGCTTTAGCATCTTACGTGAAACGCTAACGGCTCAAAAAGAAGCCCGCGTAACTTCATCCAAATCTATAACATTTATTACCAAGATTAAAGAATTTCCGAGTACATAGATAAGCAGAAAAGTTTGATGAATATGTGAATGGCCACTTCTTATAGAATGTTTAGGAACTGTGGTATAAAAAAATGACAAACTTGGAAGACAGGGAGAGTATAAAAGGCTCATCGCGCACGTCACCGTTCTGGTAGAAACAGTCCGTTTCATTCTAGAAAAAAGTAGGTGTAAGCTGAACAAAGAAAACGCATATACAATGAAACATATATGCAGGATTGTCTAGGGATATATGAGGCTGAATTGGCCAATATGGTTCGGATAGTAAGCTAGTAGAGAAGATGCTACGAACAGTTTTTATAGCAGTATTAGGCGTTGCAGCCATGCGACTTACAAAAGCTTACACAATAAACCTACCAGAGCCTCCATAATAGGTAACAGCTTCATATTCTTGATTTCATTGACATCACCATGTTTTTCAGCGTATTTGGCACAAACCAAACGAATCTGAACGCAGTGCACTTTATATAATGTGCCGGTGGTAAGAGGGGTTTAAGCACTCACAATTTCGAGGATCCGATCGGCATCTCTGCATTCAAAGAACACAGCTCTTACTACATATTCTATTACTCTTCTGTTTAGGCCATCCTCTTTCAGGTAATCCACGAGCAAATCAATGCATTCATCTGAATATATAAAATATGGAGGACGTGCAGAAGGTCCCAAAGACATGCCGCCTATCCCCGGAGGTAACAATTAAAGGTGCGAGTCATCTGGTTGGATCTGGCAACTTTCCAATTTGGCTTATATCAATCTGTACCACAATCACAACAACGCTTGAGTATGAAAGTTGAAGTGACCAAAAAATG